ATATATATATATAATTAAAAGTATGTAATGAAATGGTAACTGAGCAGTGTACTACTGAGTGGATTACAGCTGAGTATAATGATCAGCTAAAAATTGTGGTGCCAGAAAAAGATAAGAAAACCATTCTTGTAAAACAATCAAGAATTGGATTTCTTGTTAATATTTTGCTATTTCGTGGCTATCTCATTGTTAATTATATTGACATTTTTGAAGTTATATGTGCTTTTTATACTGCACACATTCCTGATCAAAAGGCAAACAGTGTACAAGCTGTAGCCTGCCAGTTCTGAAAACCGCTGTGCACAAAGCAGGTGTTTGATCCACATGCAATACACCTACTGCACACAAGCATACTCTGCCACATGAATGTTTGTATTAAATAATTCTAGTCTATATTTTGAAATTCTGTACTTAACAAATTTATAATTAATTAATATTAAGTAATATGTTTAGAATTTTATATTAAATATACCATATAGGCAATTTCATGAATTCCTTATTTTTCTCTCTAATACCAAAAAAAAAAACAACAGACAAGAAAACAACAACAACAACAAAGGGGGGTCTAAGAGATGTACGACGGTTAGTACGAGCTCTTTCTTCATTTCCTATGAAAGTTGAGAATAAGCCATTGCCCACAGCACAGCAAAGACTGGGCTGATGAAGCAAACAGGAACCACAGCCTGCATGTGCAGGCATGGGGGCTGCATGTGGCGTCAGGCCGGTGTTTGTGGGTGCATTTACAGCAGGAATGGCAGGATTGCCTCAGAGCCAAATCCAAAGAGAATTCCTTAGATTTTCCACTTGCCATCTCTCAGAAAGAGAAAAGGCAGCTTATTTTGGCTAGCAGTACCATGCAAGTTGCCTTTTAGTTATGCCAGTTGTGTTTTGGGGTGTAACTGCAGAAGTGTGGATTGTGGCCTATGTGGACATACCTGCATAAATTTCAGCGAGTAAAGTGCAAGCAAAAGTAACACAGAGAGGGCTTTCACGCCAGCCACTCATTTACCTCTTCCAGGTCACAAACCTGACGGAATAAATGGCATAAAATTAATGCCACCTTCTTGTTACTGCTAATATTGTTCAAACTAGCTGTATTACCACTAGCATACACTAGTGCTACATCTTCTACAGTAACGTGTGTACAGCCTTCCCAGTGTACTCCAGGCATGACCTCCACCATGTTTTATGGCAAATTTTTAAGCTAGAAGTGGAAGCAAGCCATAGCAACCAGAGAAACAGCAGTGCTTCAAAGAAACCTCTGTACTAAGCCCGAGATGAACTCTGAGCCAGTCTTGAAGGAGAATTGAAAAATACGGAGCAGGTGTCCACCTCCAAATTATCTGTGTCTAGAGTTTCACGTACAGTTTAAGCTGGCATAAACCAGCACTACTGCTAAAAAAACACTGCCAGGCTCCATCCTCTCTCAGCTGCTTATATCAGCCCTTGCTCCTTTCCTGCCTTTGCACTTGGTGAGTCTTGGTGCAATTGCCCCATGACCTGCATTCTGATCAGGGTGAAAACTGATTGCTTTTCCCTGCAGTAGCTTCTCCCCAGCCCAGTTCCCTGTGCAGCCGTGCAAACACCGTGCTGGCAGAAGGTGAGGTGAGCAGCTCAGCAGCAGGAACAGGGCTCGATGGGCAGGGGAGGGGTGTGCCTGCTGCTTTTGGCAGGCAGGATGATTCAAACCGCCTGGACGCATGCATGAAACTGTATTTTCCATGTTGAAAGGTGGTGAGACAACATTGCACACCCTGTGATGAGATGTAAAGAGACAATTCATATGAATCCTTTCAAGTCTAAAACTGAGTTAAAAGTTGCTAGAGCTGCCTTTATCCTTTGCCAATTGTTGTGGCTTTACAATAACTTAGCTTGTTAGCTTTTAAATATTTTCTTTTTCTGCCTGTTCCTTATAAATTGAAGAAGTCTAAGATGAGGATTGAGCAATCCAGGGGTAACTTTTGAGTTTCTCAGGTTGAATTTGCTGCCTGAAAAAGGGGGGAAAACATAACATACCACCGTGTGCTGGCTCACTGTTTTATATCTTATTATGACCACCTAAAATAGTGTAGCACTGGGCTTGAACAGTCCTTGTGCAGGTTCCTTTGCTTTCTCTCACTTGTCCTCTAACAGAGCAGGTGCAATTACATGTTTTAAACAAGTGGCATGTTAACACAGTGCCTGGTGCAGACTCTGCACTCCTACTCTTGAAGTAGGAAATATTAACCACCCCCTCATTTCTCATGTGCTACTGGAATAATTTTTCTTTCTGCAACTAGGGCCTAAAGTCAGACACGATAAATCCTAGCTCTGCAGTTAGACAGCCGTGGACAAAATACCTGGACAAGGCATGCTGGGCAAGAAACCTCTGAATGCAAGTGTTCAAGTCTCTGAAGAAGATGCCTATGAATCAGGTCATTTAACATTCAAATAGATTTTTAAATCATTTGACTAATTGGCAATTGCCTCAGACAGGAAGGATAAGCACTTAAGTCACAGCATTTAAGAGACTAAGTATGTGGCACCTCTCCTCCTCCAGAGCATGAGTTTCATGTGACTTGTGTTTGATATTTGTGTGTTCTTTTAATAATGTGGCTCCTTTGACTGGAGACTTCTCCAGGCTTACCGGCATATCAGTTCATAATAAAGCACAAGCACTCTCAGATCAGACAAGAAGGGCCTGAAACTTTTGTAACCAGGGGAAGCCAGAACATGCTTGTCCTGGCAATACTGAACCTGTCAGATGGGCTAAAGGGATCACCAGTGTCCGCTTTTTGACTTTCTTACCATCTTCATGTACTTATTGCACTGAGTGCTTAAGCTCTTAATGAACTTTTTTCCTATTAAGCTACTACGGTTCAGTGAAATGTCTTATTTTAAGTACAGAAATGTATGCGCTTATGCTCCACTGTTTTGACTGGTTTTTACCCTCTCTTGTACTGAACTATCACACCTCGGAGGAAAGCCTCTGATGTTTGTTAAAATACTGTATTTGATTCATTAGTAAAGTGTTCTTCCATTATTCACCTTGATACCATACATCTTTGAGATGTACAATTAATGTATATGACTAAGTGTGATGCAGTGCACCTCTTTGTGAATCACTGTGCTACACAGCTGGGTTTATATGGCAGATCTACATATGCATGTAAAAATAGTCAAATATGAGAGATAGCAAGGAGCTGCTGCAGTGAATGGAAAATCGCAGTGTACAGTCACCTGTAGATGACCTGGGGAGTGCAGAGTAAAGCAGTGATAGGCATTGAATCTTTGCACGATACTGATACAGAAAATGTGCTGTCACAGCCATGTGATGTGCTTGCCTCAGTAGAAAAACTGTTTGCCCCCCAAGTCTTTTGAGTCACTTCCTTTAAGCATGACAGCCTATTTTTAATTTGCAAAAAGTTTTCTGCGATGGCAGAGTACCTCAATGGCATTAAAACATTTGGCTAAGAAAGGATCCAGGTGACTTCAGAGGGTGGAGGTGGGTTGTCTCTGTTTCATTCCTGACCTGGGGTGATAATCCTGAGGGCAGCTGGGGAATATGGACAAGGAAAGGGAGGGTTACAATTGCCAGTCAAATCCTCCTCTTCTTACACATTCCTAAAAGGAGGACTGCCTATGGGAGCACAGCCTGCTCCCTTCCTACTCCTGGGGACCTCCAGACCTGCACCCACAGCAGTTTGGCAATCCCAGAATATAAAGGTGCTGCACCTTATGGAAACACCATTCCAACCCCTGTGGCACAAGAACAATGAAGCAGGGTTTTTTTACAGTTAGCATCTTCTGGTCATTTTGGTAAACAATTTAGCCCTACTGCCTGTCACTGAAGCAGGAACCCTGGATGGAGGAACTTGTGCTTCCAAAGCTGTGACTACTGCAGCACAGCCCCATGCCCAGACTCCCTCCACCTGCAATGACCGGGCTGCACTTGTCAACTAGAAATACCTGAGCAAACAGCCCTGCCTGATCCAGAGGCTTTTCCCAAGTTTGGCATGGCTGACCAACAAGCAGACATCCACTGAGCCAGAGGGCATCCTCCCTGGACAGCCCAAGCTAGGTGGGCCAACTGTGGGGCACAACTGTGGGGGCAGCAAGCAAAGCATCGCCAGCTGGTCGAGGGAGGGGATTGTCCTGCTTTGTTCTGCACTGGGGCGGCCTCACCTTGAATATGGTGGGCAGTGTTGGGCACCACAGTATAAAATAAGATATAAAGCTATTAGAGAGTGTCCAAAGGAGGGCAGTGAGAATCGTGAAGGGCCTTGAGGGGAAGCCGTATGAGGAGTGGCTGAGGGCACTTGGTCTGTTCAGCCTGGAGGAGATTGAGGGGAGATCTCATTGCGTCTACAACTTCCTCGTGAGGGGAACAGGAGCGGTAGACATTTATCTCTTCTCTGTGGTGACCAGTGAGAGGACCTGAGGGAATGACCTGAAGTTGTGTCACGAGAGGTTTAGGTTGGATATTAGAAAGAGGTTCTTCATCCCGAGGGTGGTTGGGTACTGGAACAGGCTCCCAAGGGAAACGGTCACAAAACCAAGCCTGGCAAAGTTCAAGAAGAATTTGGACAACACTCTCAGGCACATGGTGTCACTCTTGGGAATGGTCCTGTGCAGGGCAAGGAGTTGGGTTCGATGATCTTTGTGGGGACCTTCCAATTCAGAACATTCCGTGATTCTATAATTCCGTGAAGCCGATGCTCCGTCCTGCTCGCCTCACGCCAGCCTCACCACAGCGTCCAGCGCCCCGTAACCCCAAGTGTCGTGGACGAGGCTGGGGGGCACGCGCTGCCCGTCGCCCGCCACACACGCACCCCCGGTCCCGGGGCGGAGGCGCTGCCGTGGGGCCGCTCCGCTCCGCGCCGGACCGCCCGCCCTGCCCCGGCCCCGCGCCCCCTGCAGCCGGGGCACCGCGCTGCCCGCGCCGCCCCGCGGGGCCCGGGGTGGCGCCGCTGCGAGGCTGCGCGGGGGCGGCGGCGGCTCCGCTCCCGGCTCCAACCGGAAGCGCGGGGGACGGAGCGGGAGACGCGGTCGCGCCGATTGCAGCTCCCTCGGCGGCTCCGGGATCGGCGCCGCTCGGGTCCCGCCAGCCCAGAGCCCCTCGGGAAAGGTGAGGACGGCGAGGCGCTCCCGCGGAGGCAGCGCTAGGGGCGGCGGCGCGGTCGGTGCGCGTTCGGCCGGGCGGAGGGAGGCGGGGGGGGGCAGCCGGCGGGGCCGTGCCGTGCCAGGGGTGTCCCCGCCGGCTTGGACGTTCCCCGCGCTGAAGCAACTTGGGAAGCCCCGGGGAGGGAGGCGGCGTGGCCTGACCTTGCGTCGCCCCCGTCCCGCCGCCCCCGAGAACCCCCCGCGAAGGCAGCGGCGCCCAGGCGCGGTGGGACGGGGGTCGGGAGACGGGCCGAGCCGGGGGCAGCCGGGCGGGCAGGCGGGACGGCCCGGCACGGAGAGAGAGGTGCTGCCAGCGGCGGCCGCCCGTGACGGCGGGCAGGGGCGCGGGTAGCGGGACACGAGCAGTCGGCGTCCGGCCAGGGGCTGCTGCCCTCGGCCACCCCTGCGCCGCTCAGACCGCGTTTCAAACGTGTTCACTTCACGGGCACCTGCTGCGTTTTGCTGTTATTTTGGGCATGAAATCACCCGGGTTGGGCTTTGAGGTGTGTCTTTCATTCTCTCCGTTTTTTTCCTTTTCTCCTTCATTTTTAAAGTAAACTGGCGATCTTTTTTTTTTTTTTTTTTTTGCTGTGTTTGTTCAAGTTAGCTCGTTTCCAGCAGCATGCTCTTTCATTAAGCACGCGTGTGTGTGAGCCATCCATTACCCCTGTATCCAGCATGCTCTGCTGGGAGTTTTAGCGACAGAGCCATCGGGAAAGCCATGGATCATTACTTTTTCTAAGTTCCAGAAGCAGAAATAATTTGAAAGCACTGGATTAACTGGGTCACTGCCTGAAAACATCATAGCTTTCTGCTGGAGGCATGCAGTTAGATGTTTTCAGGACTTTGTCCTTAAATTGTAAGTCCTTAGAAGCTTGGTTGTTTTATCTATTAGAAATGTGCTTTGCATACTGGTGGCAGTGTGTGAATAATGGTAACCCTGGAGAGCCTGGCTCACTGACGGAGGGGAAGGCTGACAAAACTGAGGCCCAGATCCTGCAGTCTGGCCCGTGTCAGGACAGAGCTTTGCTACGGGCCTGTATGCAGGTTTAGCTGCCCTGTCTTTCTTGCATGTGTGTGTACTCCTGTCAGGCATCACTTACAAGGTATAATGTAAGTGAAGTGAGCAGTTTAGGGTTTTTCTGAGATAAAATGTTTTCTATTTAAAGCAAAGCCTTTAATCCCTTCAGTCTGCCATTGACGCAGCTTGGGTTGAAAAGAATTCTTTTCCTGAAGTACTCAAACTGTTTAGGCTGAGTTGAGCCCTTTTTCTCTAGCAGTGCTTGTATAAATTAAATTAAAATTAGGAATGTTATTAATGGAAGTTATGCATAATTCTTAGGTTCTGACAAAGGACAGGCTCAAATGTTGTTGCTTCTGTAACTAAGGTAGGCAGTCTCACCATCTGCAGGGCTGCTCCTCAGTCTGATTAAGAAATTTTAACTGTAGGGGCTATTGACTTTATTTTAACTTCTGGAGAGATTAGAAGATTAGGATATATTTAATTTGGAGTTGTGCTTGGAGTTTGTTTGTGGCTTATCCATCAGCAGTTCAAGATATGATTAAGGGGTTTTTTACTTCTCAAAACTTCTTTCTGCAGTATCTCTTGTAGCTTGATATCACAGTAACCCCTTTTCTGTTTTCTATTTGGACAAGACAGTGACTAACCATGTGTTTGGGGGGGGGGAGTTTGTTGGACTTGTTTGTGGAATTTTTTTTTAGATATATATTTTTTAAAAGACTAAATAAATATGCTGCTGAAAAAAATCCAGGTTGATATGTTCAAGGACTGTAGGCCATGTTGGATACAGAGGATGATTTGGGTCTAAAAATGGATGTTCAAAGATACTGAAAGCAAATGGGCTGTTTTGCCAAATAAGGAAACTTGGCACATTTGGCTGTGTATTTTAAGATAGCACAAGTGTGGTGTGCTACTACTTTATTGGCAATATGTTGGCAGTGTGCCTTCCTGAAAGAAGCACTGAATCCTGCTTCATGGAACCACACAGTGAAGTGAGAACAGCGAGTGGCGTGGTTGTTCCCCTTAACAAATTACAAAGGATGTTCCTGAAGTAATTGAATGCTTGAGCAGTGTCAGGTGCACGTGCAAGATGAGGGATGCAATTTTCAGTTCCACAGACACGCACTAAGCAAAATATGAGTTGCAGTTACTGTGCAATTTGTGCTGAATTCTTTCCTGCCTCCTACTTCTAAGTCCCTCAAGTGGAAGTTCTCTATACTCTGGGAATGGTAGCTGAATGGCAAATGGAAGGGTCTTCTGGTTTGTACGTGGAATAAAGCAGAGTGTTGGTCATGGCAGCACTTGCCCAAATTGCAGCCTGTTGGTAGGGAGGTGTGAGGTACAAGTTCTTCCAGTGTCACTCTGGTAAGATGCAGGGCAGCCTTCAGCAGGGTTGGTCTGCAGCCTGTCTGCCTGGGTGCCCTCATTTTGTGGGGGCCTGGGTGGAGCAGACAGTGTGGGATCTCAGCAGGGTCAGGCCCCCACATGGGTTAATCCCCTAAACTACTGTAATCATAAGAAGCCAGTGATGGCAGATGTTTTCCTACACCTACATTTATTAGTGTAATGAACTGAGCTTGTGGTGACATAATGGCTTGCTGCAAAGTGACTCTGTGTAATAGAACTAACATGGTAAAAACTAATGTTAAAAAGTGTTAAATGATTTCTTGAAGTGTTAAATGCTGCCAAAGCAGCACTTTTGGTTTGAAATGAACAGCTTCTAACACTATGCTCAAGTAAGTTACTATGAGGGGAAAAAAAAAGACCCAGGAGAAGATGGAGATGTTGCTGCAAGATCATAAGCTTGTGTTAACCATTAGAAATAAAACAGAAAAAGGAGCAAGTTTTTTCCCTCAGGAAGATCCCACAGGAATAACTGAAATAATCAGCAGTTGAGTTGTTTCCTGAAACACCTGCCATTCACTGTTTCTGAACTGTTGTGTTTTCATTTAGTTAAGAACAAGAAACGCAGTCAGTCAGTGTAGTGTTCCCCTGGCTACGCAAGGATGGTGATTAAACATTTGAGACCATGTGAGTGTGGAAGGGTGGTGTGGGTGCCAAACCTGCCTTATGCTGTGTGTGGGAGAGTTGCCACTACCCCAGCCCCAAGCCTGGAGACCCTGCTGCAGAGGACTGCTCTCCTGGCTGCAGAAGTGGAAGATGTGAAGAGGTGCCGAGCGTTGCTGTAATGCTGTGCTTGTTTCAGATACAAATATAAGACTCTGGAGTTAACTGAAATACCTGATCTACTTTTTTCCTCTTAACCAGTGGTATAAACTCAGATTGTTTAAGAAGGATGACAAGTTAATGACTGTGTGCAGATTTCTCACGTGCAGTTGTTACTCTAAACAGTTGTTTTCTTAAACATAACAAAGAGATTGATCTCTCTAATTGAGGATTAACTACCTTGCATCCGAAAACATGGAATAATGTTTAAACAGGTCTGTTGTTTCATCTAGGAGAAAACGAACGTAGGCTGTTGTTAGTTACAAATCTCCAAATAGAGTGTCCCTTGGAAGTCTCCTCTACTTTCTCTGGAAAAAAGCATCTGGAAGAGCCCAATACAAACCAATGAATCATTCTTTAAATAATAATAATTTATTGTGTGCTGGTGCCTATAGCATCTCTACAACTGCTTGAAAGGAGGTTGCAACCAGGTGGAAGTCAGCCTCTTCTCCCAGTCAACTAGCAATAGAACAAGAGAATATAGTCTTATGCTGCACCAGAGTAGGTTCAGATTGGACATTAGGAAGAGTTTCTTCACAGAAGGGGTGATTAGATATTGGAATGGGCTGCCCAGGGTGGTGGAGTCACCATCTCTGGAGGTGTTTAAGGAAAGAACTGGATGTGGCACTTGGTGCCATGGTCTGGTTGACAAGGTGGTGTTCGGTCATAGGTTGGACTCAGTGATCTCAGAGATCTTTTCTAACCTAATTCATTTTGTGATCTGCAGCTGGTTGACTGCTGTAGGTAAACTTGAAATTGGGGAGGTGTTTAAAGGAGGAACAGTAGCTTCTGCAAATGCTTGTGTGCCGGGCAGTGCGTTGCCAGTGCATGAATGTTAGGTAAAATTTGAAGTGGTAAGGAGGACCCATCAGAAAGTATTTACCAAGTGTCTGGTGTGCATGTTTTTCTGTGCTGGTGTAACTTCCAGAAATCAGATAATTTACTGTTTTGTATGGGTAATTTGGTTCTTCTGGGTGAACAATAATGTTAAATAATTTGACAGCTCTTCAGAGCTATTGAATTCAGATAGTGAAGGCCAGAAATACTTGCTTCCTATGATGTATTTTTCTTTTCACTTTGTTTTCTGTTCCTTCTGTCATCCCAAATGCAGCCATCTGTTATCAGCTGTTCCCACTTCACTGTTAAATTTATGGTCCAGTCAGTGCATATGCTTTTGCCTATGAGTAACATCACTCTTCTAACTAATTCTATTGTCAATAAGGAGATTGTTCACTCAAGTGTAATTACCCACGTCCATAAATATATGCAGGGCTGTGGCCTTAAATTGTGAGGTTTCTGGTTTGGGAAGCCGACCTTTTTTATTTATCTATAAAGCATCACATATGCTTGAGACACCATGTACACAGCATTAACGTGGGGTAACTGCCAGAGTAAACAGAGCAAATGAGCTTTTGTTCCTGGAGATCTGCTAATTAAGCAACATTGGCAAAGAGCAAAGTGTTTAAACTGGCTTCACTACTCTCTTAGTTTGTAGGAGTGACCAATTTGAGCTTTCTCTAAAGAAAATGTATGCAGGATGGTGCAAAAGATGACTCTGGGATGGCAGGAAATCTAACATCGGCAACAAGGTTAAAACAAGAACTGAAGGTCAGCAGGAGAGTTTGGGCACCTGTATCAGGGAAGGGGCTGCAGAGCACTGAAAGAATGCACTTGATTTCTTATCCCATTGGTAACCACTACTCCGACTCACAGTGCTAGGGAGAGAGCATTCATGTTCCCTTCCTGAGAGCTTTGCAGGCTGTCAGTGAAAGGCTTGAAATCTGCCCCTTCCTAAAACGCCTTCTTGTAAACATAGTCAAGTTGTCTTGGTACGGTCAGCGTTTGCCTTTACCTTTATGGGTGGTCAAGAGTTATAAAATGAAGCAGGCAGTTTCAGAAAGGCTTGATGTTACCTTATGCTGTACGTAGAAAAGCGTTGGTATCTTTGTCTTTCATTTGGAGAATAGCTGCAACCAAACAGTGACAGAAATTCCTGGTCAAATGATGTCTCAGTTTTAATCAGATTAGCTGCACAATAGGGGAAGCCAGGGGGCAGATAATATCTTTGTGTTTCTTACAGAAGGGACTGGCATAAAGGGATTTTGGCAGTCCGTAGTATTAGGTGTATTACAAGTGCATTTCCGAGCTCCGGACAACACAGAGTGTGTGGATTCCATCTCAAAAATCCCTATAGAATGGAGACTCCGAGAAAACGTAGTATGTTTTGGTACTGTCATTTACCATTGAAACTGGGCATGTAGTTTTCATCAGCAGTGCAATATCTCTGGTTCTTTTTTGGATTGTTTCATTCAAACCCATTTCTCATTTTATGCTGATAAATTTACTTTCATTAATTGCAGGTGTAGTAACTTTTGCTGGTAATTAAAACTACTTTGTCTAAGCTGGTGCATCTGAAATGATCCCGTAGCAGGCTTGCAGATGGATCTAGAGGATGCCATGTCCTGCACTCCCACTAAAGACCTGAGCTTTCTGATCTTACATCTTTAAAAAAGGAAACCTAAAATTAGTCATTCTTCATGCATTTAGGTGATAATATTTCTTGAAATTCGTTACGGCCATAAGCTTTATCACCGTGAAATCTCGGAGAGGGACGTTCTGTTCCCGTCAGCAGGCTTGGGATCATCTCTTGAAACTGCCGACACCGGTCTTGGCACGGGCTGCAGAATTTCACATATTGTAACACAGATGAATTACCTTGTACTCGCGCTTTGTTACAACACGCAAACAGAACTGAGTCACTCGGGAGCAGAGATTTACCAGGGCCGGGTTTCTCCACGTCCGTGTGCGAAGCGCTCGGGCCTCGCCCCGGGTGCGCGGTGTGTCGCGGTGCCCCGCTCGGCGGCCGGGGCGGCGAGTGCCTCCTCCCTGGACACTGCGGCGGGAGCGCGGCGTGCCTGGCGTGCCTGAGCTGCTAGGCAAGCTCCGAGCCCGCAGCACGCTTCCTGTCTGTCGGCGCGCTCCGCTTGCCACGGGCGAGGCAGCGACCTGCCTGCCTCTCGCAGAGCCGCTTCCAAGGTGTTCGGGAAACGTCAGTATCCCTCTGAGGAATACTTTTGGTCGTTTCTGTCTCCCAGCTGCTCCTGATAGCTCGTGCAAGTTACACAAACGTTTGCGCAGCCTGTTGGAGTGCGAGTTCCCAGGTTGTTTTCCTCCCGTGCCCTGTGGATTTTACTTGTAGCGTGCTGTGATTCTGATTTTGGGGTGTCTGGGCGTGGGTAAGAAAGTCCATAAACCCTTGTTAATGAAAGCTTTTCTTTTCACAGGTTTTGCTGTGGTATATTTTGTCATTATGAGATGTCGTCTACCAGTGCTTCATTTGTGCAAATTAAATTTGATGACTTGCAGTTTTTTGAGAACTGCGGTGGAGGGAGTTTCGGGAGTGTCTACCGAGCCCGATGGATTTCTCAGGACAAGGAGGTGGCGGTAAAGAAGCTGCTCAAAATAGAAAAAGAGGTAAAAGTTTACCTTCCATTCACTTTGTCTGCTGTGGTTACAAGAGCAAAAATTTTTTCTAGTGTCTTCCATCTGGGTAATGCAGGCAAACTACCTTTGGCTTCTTTGTTTCATTACAAAACCTTGTAAGTGGATGACATTAGAGTTGAGTGGTCCCAGCCGAGGGGGCTGATTTAAACCATTATTGTTTTTACTGTTCACTGTTCTTTCCCACTTTTTTTGTTTAGCAGCTCCTCTCTGCCCTGGCCCTGAGGAGAAGGAGAGCTAGCTGTGCCTGTGGAGCTAGTAATTTTCCCTTGATGCCAGCAGGCATGTTGCTGGATAGGGAGAGGTAGTTTCCACTGTCACTGCCTGATTCTGTTTTTTCCTCATGACTTCTGGTCTCTTAAGGGTTGTGGTTCATATCTGTATGTTCATTATAGGCTTAGCATTGTCTCCTCCCTGCCTACTGCAGGTTTTGATCTAGGGCTCCATAGCTCCTAGTTAGTCATAGCCACACTTCAGCTTGGCCTCGCAATGAGATATTTTTAAGACTAACTGTTCTACCAGTCAACTGTCTAACTGTTCTACCCTTGTGGCGTCCTGTGCACCTGGAAAGGTGGACAGGTCCTTGGCAATCCTGAGGGAAGAGGCACCTGTACTAACTAAAGTTGGTTTGTTGTTTGGTTTTTGTGTTTTTTTTTTTAAAAAGATTTTTAGATTTGCCTGAAAATCCTCTTTACCCCTCAGCTTTGTACAGTTCCAGTAGAGACACAGTGTATGTGGTCCTCACAGTGCTCTAGCCTGCCTGCTGGTCACCACCACAGATGGAGCAGTGAGGACACAGCAGTCTAATGATGAACAACACAGTTACTGGACTGCTGTTCCAGCAGGACTATTTCTAACTTGTATACAGTATCCTCCAAGTATTTTAGGAAGCCAGTTATAAGCTGGAGGACAGCAGAGCTAGGCATAATAGGCTTAGTAAATAATGAGACACCAAAGTTCATCCACTGCTGCAGCAACTGAGCTGTCATGATTACACCATGCTTAGTGATGTGATAAGAATGTTTGATCATGATTAAGCAAGTTACTGTCTAAAATAATGGAGAAGGATCTCATGATTTTTCCAGGATGGTGGAAGATTTATACATTCTGTCCAATGTCAGTTTGGGCTGTTCTCTTTATTTCTATTATTTTTCAATTTAGAAATAGATGAAGACAAGTAAAATTGATGCTATGCAGTATCAGTAACGTGCTCCTTAAAAATCATCTGGGTTGCAGTTCTCAGTAATGGTCTCTGAAATATCTTTATGTGCGTTTCAGGTGGGATTACACCTGTGTCTAGGATAGACTTGTTGCTATATACTTTAAGCATTTTTTAAAAGTAAATTTAAAAACAACGTTACTACATCTTGTGATGGCATAAACCTTAACGGAATGGGAAAGGATGGAGAAAGAAGGACAGTTCTATGTATTACTTAACACAGTTGGACCATTCAACAGAAATATATTTTTTAAAATAGCCCAACACAAAGTTCAGCTTGTAGTAATAATGAACACAGATTGTTCAGTAGGAAAAGGAAACCATACGCTGGAAAGAATTTATTATAATATAAGGATTTATTTAGGGATTAATGAAGACTTGCAACTCATTAAGAGGTCATATCATAGTACTGTTGTGCAATTTGGTTAAATGTGTTGCATATCCAAAGGAGGATCAAGTCATTTTTAAGAACCAGGTGTGCTTTATCTTGGTATGTGGGACTGGGCGAATTGTTGTTAGGCAGTAGGTGCAGATGTGGTTTTGTTGTGTTTAAAAGAGTGTAAATGAACTGTAAGGGCAGCCCAAGGGGATTTGCAAAACACAGAGTGGAAAGTTAGGGGCAGTGGTGGTGTCGAAAAGGGGTGATGAATGTCATCCATCAGCATGAGTTGACAAAAGGAGAGGAAGTGCCTTCCAGCACAAATTTTATTTTCCTTCAGAATGGTTATCATTTGCAACTTAAACTAAACAAGACAGGTTATGGCTGCGACCAGGTTGGTATGGGCACTTTCTCTTGAAAATTTTCTGGCAAGGCAGCGGAGAGGCAAGTGGTGATGCCTTAAGTAAGTCTAAGAAGCTTTGGCAGAACAGTCTGTCAGCAGTTTTAGAGACTTAAAAATTAGACCTTATTTACAAAAGTTGCATTGTCATATGGAGAAAATGGTGGGCTCAGTTTAGTGCAAAAAGTTATTGCAAAAACTAAGGGTTAGAATTTGTAGTCAGACAAATTAGAATGGAAAAGAAAGCACAAATTATCAGGAGTGAGGATGAGTAACGCTTGGCACAGACTACAAATGGGAGGAGTGAAATGGAGGATTCTTTTAATTTCTTTGTCTTCTCATTGAGATGTCTTTTTAGACAATTGTTTCTGAGCTCAACACAGTAACATCTTGCTGCGGTATGGTGGCCTGTGCTGTACCAGAGGCCAACCTTGGTGGCCAAAAGGTCTCTTCTGACCCTAATGGCTGTCAAATGTTTCCATGGGTAATATGTTCCTCTGTAGTGATCACAACAGTGAACATCTGTGACTGAACTGCACTGAAAGTCACGGTGAGTCAATGGCTCTTCTGATAACAATACAAAAATACAGTTACTTGCTGTAACTGTATGTGTTTAGTAGATATTTGGATGCATTTAGTCCAGAAAACTAATTATTACTCTTTCTGGTTTATTTGAAAGGAAGTGTCCTTTTAAATCCATGACTGTCTTGTATTTCTGTTAACTGCTGCCAATAATCCATAACAACTGATTAGAGGGAAAACAGAGGAGAGTTGTGAAAAGCTTGCTCAGAGGAATTTCATGCTAGCCAAGTCCAGGGGCACAAGCCAAGTTAATAGAGCTGTGGTATCATTCTGCAAATATGTTGTATCTGTGTGTCATTTCATTAAACAAGCCAATCACAACCAGCAAAGATCTTGAAGGTTTTATATTAGTCAAGGGGCTAACAAGTTCGAACATATGAAACAAGGCAATTTTTGTTCCAGCACAGCACACTAATATATGTGTTTAGAAAAACTTACAAATACTTGGAAGAGTGTTGCTCTGACAGATTGCTTCAAAACTGTTTAAAATCCAAGAAATACCTCTGCAGGGCATTAAGTTTTTATAGACAGGCAGTAAAATGTGACTTTACAGGAGCAGGTGTGTGTTTATGTGAATAAAATACATCTAAGTAGGTCTGCTGAGAAAAATAAATATGCTGCAAGGCCTTGACTAGAGTATCAGATCTGAAACTGGGCAAGACTTCTGCTGATTAAGTAAAACATAGGAGTGTGGCCTGAGTGATTAAATAGCAGCAAAACCAAAATTAAATTGCCATTTTACTATCTAGTACAAACACTCTAACAGTTTTAGGTTTTAAGCAGGGAACAGGAGTTCCTTGTGAATTGTTTTATGGAAAATCAAACTGTTGGTGTGATGTTTGTGATGCATGTGGTCGGAGTAAAAATGCCTCCTGTAGGAGGGTCTGTGCTTGCTCCTTTTGCCCTAAGTGGTAATTGTGTCTGCTCATGGAAGAAAATCGCACACCTACTACTCAGGAAGTTATTTGGCATTTTTGAGAGTGATTTATATGAATTATTGGATAAGCCCATAATTTGGCTCCCACTGGAATGAATGGGAGAGATTGGGCCCAGGGTCCTTATTCTGCAAATTGCTAGCAGTTCTTTTGACTCCATTATCTTGAGCAGATAACTGCTGGAGTGAAGTGTTACAAATGTTGTTTTTATGCCTTGCCACATTAGCTTTTCACTAAAGAGCACTCGCCTCCTTTGATTGTACATCTTTGAAGTTCACCCATTACTTGTCACTGCTTTTGAAGGCTGTGCTTTTGATGGCAGTTTGTTGGCATCTGGAGCGTGGTTCTTCACCAGGAGATTTATTCCTGCTGGAATTTTACCTGAAATTTGAATTTAATTTTAATATCACAGCTCTTTGAAAGTATTGCATGGTCCACGAGCTGTCTTTGTGCTATTGATGAGCAGCAGTATTGCCTCTGGTTTGCTTGCTTCAGCCATTACAATCATGGTACTTGGGTATAAGATCATCTGATTTCATGAGGTACAGTTGTTCCTGGACTCCTCCAAAATACTGGCAGTGGTCTGTGCAAACTGCAGGAGTGTGGTGGAAAAAAACTAGTAAAATGTAACTGTAATCTTATTGGGAAATACTTAAATACTTCTGGTGAACTAAGAGAACTAACTTGAGGATAAAAGATGTTAAATTGAGTAGGATTAACTATGCATGCCTTGTTCAGTCGTGTCTCTGTAATGCATTTGAGTTTTATGAGACTCAAAAATAAAAACATGTTTTCTCTAGTTTTGATGCTGTATTGCCTGAAGTCTGGCTACCATGGAAGTTAATTTTATATTGCCAGTGTTTCTTTTATGTAATGCATGTGCAGTAAGCTTTAGGAGATCTTTTAATGCTTTATAAAAATTTTCTTATGGAATATAATACAGTGCGTTCACTTATTTTTATGATCGACTTCTGAAAAGAAATGTCCAGAAAACAGGGATTGTACCTCTACCTTCTGAAGGGGCTGAGTTAAGTCTAACCGCATGCATGTCACTAGACTTACCTCACTCATGTTTGTAGTGCTAAAAGCGAGCATGTGGTAATTTTAATGTGGGTCATGAGAGTAGGAACTGGGAATGACTTTCAAGAGTAACAAGAGAAAAACAACAGAGTAAAATAAAGCAAAGCAAACCAAACTGAAATTGATACTTGGTTCTGACAGGACTAAAAATAGTAGACGTTCTTTTTGCTTGCGGTTTATAGCTGGTATGGGTGCCAGCCTTGAATATTCAGCTCTCCACACTGAGTCCTGGCTGTAATGAAGAACAATTTTTTTTACACTTTTTAATTATATTATTAGCTCTTTCTAGGGGCTCCTATCCCCTTACCTCTCTTATGTTTGAGTCAGCATGTACTGGGAATGATTCAAGATAATACCTGCCAGAAAATGTCTGAATTT